CCTCCTGTGAAGAAGCTTCCACAACTTCCCTAGGCCCGTCTGTTCCATTGTCCTACTGTTCTTACAGTTTGGAAGTTTTTCCTGAGATTTAATCTAAATCTGCTATGCTGTAGTTTGAACCAATTGTCTCTTGTCCTAGCCTCTGTGGCAAGAGAGAACAACTTTTCTCCCTCTTTTTTATGGAGCCTTTCAAGTATTTGAAGACCACTATCATGTCGCCCCTTAATCTCCTTAATCTCGGTATGCTTGATTTTTACTCCTTTGAAAATGAGCAAGGGTTGAAAACAGTAAAGAGAGAATATATTGCATTTACACCTGATAAAATTATTTGATTTATAGAAATATATTTTAAAAACATCTGTCTGGGTTCTAGGCAGCCTGACAATATTTTAAAAAGACACCATTTAATACAACAAAAATATAGCTCCAGCAGTTAACTCAGCCCCCATGTAAATCAGCCATTAGGAAGGAAAAAGGTGACAGAGAAGTTAAAGGTGTAATGCAAATTTGCAGATGCATCTAGATGTAATTTGAACTGTTGTGACTAGGAATTGAGGGAAACATTTTTAAAGCTTGGGTTCATAAATCTTATCACCTAAGTAAAAGTGGTCTGATTTTCAGAGGTGCAGATCCCATTAATTTTAATTGGAGTTTCTATAAACTCTATTTGGAAGCATGATCTAAGGTATCTGTTGTGGGTAGGGAAGGAAGAAGAGAGGATGCAGTGACTCCCATCTGCCCCCAATATACATATGTAGGAGGTAGTCACAATGCTGATGCCTGTGCTCCTGCATAATAAGAGAGGGTCTTGTTGTTTAATGGGTGCTCAGGAGATACATGTTCAGTTCCCAAACCTGTGTGACTTTGGCCAAGTCACTCAGTTTCTCTGTGCTTTGGTTCCCCATCTGTGAAATGGGGATAAATGTATCAATATTTGGGAGATGTCAGATACTATGGTGTTGGAGGCCATGTAAGTACCTGGACAAATAGGGGCCCATGTATGTATGTAGTGGAAGGATAAAATGTTGGGCAAACCATTGTTCCAGTGTCAAAATGGCAATTAAAGTTAATGGAGTGTTAAATGTTGGATACTAGTGAACAGTAAGTGTTGGAAGATAAAAATAATTTGTCCAACAAATCAAATGTCCCATATTTTTCTGTGAACTCTGCCTCTTTTTGGTGGTCTGGTCCACATTCCTCTCACATAATGTTTATAGGTCTCAGAGAGCTCAATTTGGTCAGATTGTAATATTATGCAAGTGATATGATTTAAACATCTTAACTTAAATTATTAGGAAAATATATAAATGCATGGTCATATGCAACCCCTCAGTCAGAACCAGTCCCCAATAGATACTGTGATCTGATCTGTTGCAATTGTCTGTGGGCATCCATCTCCCTAATCCTCAATGAAAGTGTCTATGATCCATCTCCAAAGTTATAAACAGACATATGCAAGGACACCAACCAATCAACTACCCTATGATCTCATTTTATTTTTCATCCATTCATTAGGGTGTCCATTAGTTCATTTGGTTTCCTCATCATTTAGATCTAGACAACATATTCTAATTTACAACTAGTTGTACTGATCTAATTGTCAGGATATAAATCCTCCTCTGTCTGGGAGTCAGTTTAATTGCAAATGAATGTTTACATTGTCAGATTTTCTCTGTCATCAGTGTCTCTACCACACTTCCACAGCACTGCACCAAACTTTTACTGCAAGTTTGTACATCCAAAAAGATACAACAACCCTTTGTTTGACAAATTACAATACAATAATAATAATAATGACTGGATATGTTTGAGCATGATTCTATCTCTACAAGTGGCTATGAGCCAAGTCTTGGTACTGAACTTCTGTATGTCCCACTAAATGTTACATGGCTGCTGCTCTATTATTATTATAATAATATGACAGGAATTTTGCTTGCTGTGTGCACAAATACTCTAAAAATAGAAACAGGTTTGGTAAGAAAAGCAAGAGCAATTTTTCAAATATTGATTTTAAATGCTACATTTTAAAACAATTGTAACAACTCCTACGTGAACTGACAACTACTGTAAAAGAATAATTCAGACGGTAAAGTTTATAGGTAAAGAGTTTATTTCTTGAGTCAATGCACAGAATATTGAGCGAGTAAATCTTCTTAATTCTAATGGTAGTTAAGTGCCTATCTTCCCTGCATGCTGAAGGCAGAATAAAACTAAAGATATAATTTCTATGAATCTAATGAATTATTTAGCATGAAATCCTTTTATCTAAAAATTACCTTAGTTACCAGAATGTTAATTTAATTAGTAGAATTTTGCTGCTGAGAGTTGCCTAAATATAATATATTTGTTCTCAGATATGGTATGATATTTCTAACATTTTAATTATATCATGATATTCCCTTTCTTGTTCTAAACATTTAGTAAGACTTGTACTACTACATCATATATAATAGGAGTGCAGTGGCTGTTGCTTAGGCAACCAGATGAATAAATGCAGGTCAGAATGTGCTTTCAGAAAAACAAAAGCAGAAATATGGTACAGAATGAAGAACAGACATGTCTAACTGATTTTTCATTGAATTAAAACAATAATATTGTTCAAAAGCAGACAGTCAACCGATTTTAGCCAAGTCTACAACTGAATAAATAAGCTTACATAAAATAGATGAATATGTAAACAATTTTGATTAAAAAAACAATTTTCTGATATTATAGAAAAATGTAACACAGCACATTTAAGGTTAACAGATATCAAATTTTTCCTATTACCCTAACAGACCTTTATTCTCCAATTTAAATATCTATATTCCAGGTTTAATTTTCTTCTATAATTTTGGATAGAAATGAAAGTATTTTAGTGACAATAAACATTTTTTGAATTATGCCAGGAGAAACCTCTTACATTATGTAATGATGATGTATGCAAAAGAATAATATGTAAACCAGCAAATTATGATTTTATGATCACTTTTTGCTGCAATAAAATATTTGATATATTGTGGCCTAAACCATAACATATCAAATTATTGTAAATACTGAGAAGTTATTATATCATTATTGTTTCATTGCAACATTATTTCACAGCAATATGTTTAATTACTAGATTCAATGTAGGGGTCTAATCTCTTATTCATACATGCACCGAACTCCAAATAACATCAGTGGAAATTGTATGTTTTACATGTAATATGTATTCAAGAAGAAACTAAATTAGAAAAGAACTAGTAGACTAAGCTGACCAGAATGCTTTGGTTACCATACAGACACCCACGCCATAACTTAACCCACATGGTACCTGAAAAAGTTTGGTTTGGGTATTTACTAAAAGAACTTCATACTGAAACAGGTACATTTACATAATTATGTCAATGAGCGATTTAGGGCTTGCCCACTGAAGTCAATGACAGTGTCCATATTGACTCCAATGGGCTTTGGATCAGGCCCCTACAGCTTTAGTAAATGTTTTGAAAGCAATCCAAGTCAATTTCTCTAGCTCCTACCGGCTCACTGTTTACTTGTGGTGGGTGCACCTTTACACATTTGTTATGACTTATGCTCATCTGCTTTAGTCATTCTAAAGCTACAGAATATGTAAGATACTAGTGGTTGCAAGTTTCGCTACAATGAAATACATTTAAGAACTTGTATTGGATGGATGAAGCCTACAAATTACATTTGTGTTTTTTTTATTTTATTTTTTATTTGGGTCTAATTTTTTTGCTTTTAAAATCAAGAACATTTAAAAGAAGAGCAAAAACTGCTAAGATTTTTGTTGGTATAAGCAAAAGAACACACAGCAGCCATGTAGAGGCAGGAAGAAAAATCAAAAATGCATATGGAAATAAAAATAGATGGGTCTTTCACAATTTTCTTATCAATAACCCATAAGTGTACATTAGTACTGGCAAAAAATGTGAAATGGGGAAAATATGACTGATGTACAAATATGCCTTTGTAATCATAGCATATTCATGCCAAAGTCCACTTGTACATCTTACATACTGTATGTAAGCTGTTCGTTAACGTAGTAGCTCTGGAGCTATCCAAGGATGAAAATATTTACAGAGAAAAATACCTTAATTAGGGACAAAGAATAATGTGATGAGATCTGGTACTGTACAACAAGTATGGTGAATAGTTTTACCACAAATAAAAATTATAAACATTGGAAGAGGTATATTCATGGTTATGTAGCAATTTTATAGATTACCTTCCTCCCTTAGCCATATTAATTTTAAGTGGAAAGATTGTATACATGAGGTTTGTCATCCATACCACATGTGGATACCCTAGATTCTAAGGTATCTGAAATAATTTGGTCCTTTTGTTCATCTCAATGAAATATTTATAGATAACCTAGGAAAGTTTTTGGTATCCATTTAAAGGAATACTCTTGCTTTCCTGTTCAAACAAGTGAATCCCATAAACTGATTACCTAAAACCCCCCCAAACAACCCCACTTTACTAAGACATCCAGAATTAGTTAGAGTTGGCACAATTTGTTCAATAATTATCCATAATTAAAATACATCTTCCTGTAACAATGGCATGTCATACTATTTAATTAACTTGGTGCTAATGTTTAAATAAAAGTAATATCATGTGATGTACTACAGATAGGGGTGTGGCCAAACCTTTACATACGGGGGAATTGCCCCCTCCCAATGATGGTGTACAAGTATTATGCATTTCTACTTTTTAAAAAAACCTGGAGATTGATATGGGGGAGGGAGAGAACTTTAACCCCCAGCTTCACTTTGGCCATGTCCCTGGCTATAGATATTATTTCATAACATGGTATATTTTGGAAGTTTATCCTGAGAACACCTTACATATTGATTCAGCTGTATGTAGAAAACTGAAGCACTACCAGATTTCAGTGCAAAGCAGAATAGTTCTAAGCTATTTAAGATCACATAAGAAACACAGAGAGAGAGAGAGAGAGAGAGAAAAAAGCAGCTACAGTGCCTATACACAGCAATACAGAGAAGGATTCTTACCATAAATTGCACATTGTCAAATCCATTAGCCAGCAAGTGGTTCTCATACTGAGGTAGCCCAATATTTTCCAACCATTGTCCCACTGTCTGGACAGGGCATCTGGGTCCTGTAAGAGGGTGAAGAGGGAGGCGTTTAAGCAATGAGTAGCCATCCACCGGATAGTAGCGGTAGTCCTGGGCTGAGAGGTGGCATTGCCACATCATGTTCCTGGAAAAGTTGTTATCAAAGGAGCCAGCCAGCTTGACAGATTAATGTTTTCAGCAAGGAAGAAAGTCAGAAGTAAAACATAGTTTACAGGGCAGTCTATAGAGTATGATCTGATCCTAGCTCAACATTTCTTAGTTATTAATCTTTACTATAGACCATAACGTCATACAGTGGAAAAAAAAAAAGGCATATCAAGCTGTCAGCTAAGCTGTTTGCCGTTATATGTGATTGTTGGAATACTCCACAATGAGCAATGCACTGCCAGCAGCAAGAATTCTTTTTATCAAGTACTCCTACACTCATCAGTATGCAGCTCCATGCTCCTTGCTCCCCCTCGCTCGCTCCCCTTCATTACCCAGCCTAGGCTACACCTCACATTTTCAATAATAGCCATCAGATAAGGCAGATTTTTTTTGTCTGCAAGCTGTAAGCCTGCTGCTGCTGCTTCCTCCTACACACTCATCCAAGTGTCAATCTTGAATGATGAGAGCAGTCAAAACAAATGCAGAAAATAGAAAGATTCAAAAGCAAACTAAAGCTCTTAAATCTGAATAGAATCTTCATACCAGTTACGCATTACAGATCTGTTTGTTGTAGATTTTTTACGTTTCAAAAGACATCAGGAAATGCAAAGCATTAACCATAGTCTATATAGCATGGTTTACTACATGTTCCCTTTTAAATACAACATAAATACTGGTCTGTAGATCAACTTACATTATTCTGAAAATAATCATTCATTTTCTTTACTGAACCAACAACAAATGAATACATTTTAGAATGTTTTTCCTGTAACCCTCCACAAGACATAAACTGTGCAACAACCTTTTAGTCAAAATAATTAGTTTACTATCTCCAGGATTTTTCAACTGTAAAATATTATTAGACAGAAAAAAACCTTCATTCTAGCCTATTTATGATTCAACATGAAAAGGTTACCATTTCAAATTAACAGTTAAAGGGATATTTTTAACAAAGTAAAATTGAAAGTACAGATCTTTTCTCAAAAAATGAATGTTGAATGATAACAGATGTGAGTCTCAATGAACAGCAAAGAGGTTGTGTATTCTCTCTTAATATACAAGGGAAAAGTCAAAGACACAAATGATAAATTGAATGCTAAAGAACTACATTATTCAAGTGCTTAGACTTTGGCTTTCCTCCTTTCATTGAACTTTGAACTAACCAGATGCATTATTTAAACCCAACAATTTTTGCCAGTAGGTTAGCTTTCTGTTACTTTGGATGACCATGTTAGGTTTTGTTAGAGATTATTTTTACTAGACCTAATATTAAACCAACATGTTTTCATGGCACACACACAAACAAAATCAATGCAAATAGTTTGAATTTAAACATTCCCCTGCAGCATTTACAACCTAAATGTTGCAGCACTTTGCTCATGTATGAGAATCAGAAAGTACGATAAACTAAAGCCCCAACTCAGCATCCAGTGAAGTCAATGGGAAGACACCCATTGATTACAAAGGGCACCCTCAAACTTCCAGTCCTGAGACAGATATACTGGTGCTAACACCTATGTTCATACAGAGTCGCATTGAAAATAATGGTTCACCTTACTTCCTCTGGCTTTGCACATGAATAACTTCATTGACTCCAAAGGTGTTACAGCTGATTCACAACTGTGTAAGTCAGAACAGTCAGGAACAGGGGGAATATGCACAGGCATAAGCATTTGAACCAATGCATTAATTTGCCAGATCATGACCAAATCTAATTTCATCATCCAAGCTTAATTAAATGCTCAAGTAAGCTATACCATATGTGTTAAAAAGTTGGTTAGATTTTAACATCTCTGAATTTTAACAGTTAAAGATGTTGTTAGCTATACAATCCAATAAAAAGTGTGTTTAAACCAATGACTTTTCATTTGACAAGTTTCACTCCTTGACCCATTCAAATGTCAAGATACGATATCTCATGACCTTCCAGGGCTAGAAACACAGTAGAAAATCCCCTTTCTCTCCATGATATACAGCATTTGCATCTAGCAATAATGATGTCACACTGATTTATTCTGAACTAGTTTACCCAGAGGAATTTCTTCTAATTTCTTTCTCTGAGATCTCTTTAGCTGGACTCCTGGAACTAATGCTGCTGGGAGAAACACAACAATAGTACAAAGAACAATTTTTATAATTCTTAATAGAAGTCTTGATATCACTGTGAATGTATTTCTCAAAATATATGATAGTAATTGCACTACTGGGCAGGACTGAACTTGATTATTTTAATTTTTGCTGTATTTGTATAGAAATTGCTGGCGGAAATCTTTTTTTTGGTCTGTCTTACTTTTTGTGGAAGAAGCAAAACGCAATAAAATTTAGTTTTTATATTTTGTGCACATGTAGTGCTAGTTATGACCTAGGAAACATAAATAAAGGCCTTTGGAGTTCAAGTTATTTAAACAAATTGTTGTCATTATTCACATGGCCATTATGCAAATTAATACCAATTCTGCAGTGGAAGGTGTACATTAGTATACCACCTGTGCTCAGGGCACTGCACAAAGGAACCATAGAGAGGCTCACACAGATAGTCCATGTCCATTGTGTGTGCTGCCTGGAGTGTTAGAGAGATCTACAGTGGTGCAGGTAGATTTTACAGCTTGTCTCTGGGGTTGCTGTTTTATCTTACACCCTCCAGTTACTGACTTCCGGACATTTGAAAGTCCATAATTTAGATTTAGTGGGACTTTCTCACTGGGCAGACCTTCTTTTTTACTAGTCATGCCTCATTTTCCTATTACCTGCCTTCTCCTTCTGTAACAGGAGCTATTGCCTTGACTACAATAGAAAAGTTGATCAGTTTAACTAAACAGATTTAAAAACTGGCCAGTTACACTGGTGCAAATCCCTAATCTAGACACACTTAACCCTTGCTTATATCAATTTAACCTAAATTGGTAATTTAACAACACAAACTAAATTGTTATAAGTGAGGGTTTAACTGGTTTCAGTGTGTCTTCATTAGGGGTTTGCACTAGTTTAACTAAATCAATGTCCTTGAACCAGGGGACTCTTTTAGTATAGATAAAACCTATGGCTCATTTTGCAGTACTGCAGAATGTCAAATCAGTGCATCTTTGCCACATCCATCTGTTTCCTGACTATCTTGCACCTCATGACTAATATACATCGCTCGATATGTTCCTGATCCTGCAACTGGCTCTGTCCAGGTACAGGGTCCACCAAGAGACTTAACTGCTGGACTGAGGTCATCACAGAATTTTGCACTATGTCTTCCTCCTGAGAACTTGTGGAAATATCTCTGGCCCACATCTATAAAGGGGCTTAAGCATTTAGGTGCCTACTAAATCAGTGGAACAACATGGCAATCCACAAAGCCTGAGGTAGGTGCCTAGGTTCCCTATACAATGAATAGGGAGAGATGGGAGCCTAAGACTAGGATCCACAAAAGCTAGCATGCTAGGCAGGGAACCACGTATACTGGCAAATGGGAGATGCCAATGAGAGGTGCATACACTGAGCCTCACCCCTATCACAGATATAGGTGCCTAAGTCCAGGCTGCAGGCTGGAGCCTATCTCTGCTAGTGATCCACACCAGGAACCCCTCTCCTGGAGCCAGGTGGCTTAGGCACTTAAGTCATTTCTTGTGAAGAGTTAGGTACCTGCCTCTACACAAATCAGATGGAGGTGGTGGTGCTGGTCATGCCCACCTAATAATTTTTAGCTTAGTGGTTAGAGCACTCACCTAGGTTATAAAAGACCAGGGTTCAATTCCCCTCTCTGGCTGATGGATAGAAAGACTCTGAACAGGCACCTCTCACCGCTCAGGAGAGCACCCTAACCACTGAACTATAGGATATGCTGATGTGGGATTCACTCAATCTGTCCTGTTCCACTTTGGTTGAATAATTAAAAAGTCACTGGAGCAGGGGGACTGGACCTTGAGTCTCCCACCTCCCAGGTGAATGCCCGACCTCTGGACTGTAGAGTCACTCTCTCTCCCTGGCTCAATGACTTTTTAGTTATTTAATCCAAAGTGGAAGAGCTTCAACAGGAGAGACTGTGGGAGCCCCACAGCAGCTCAGTGGTTAGAGCACTCTCCTGAGATGTAAAACTCCCCTATTCAAATTTTCTCTCCCCATCTGGCAGAAGATAATTGAACCTGGATCTCCCACATCCCAGGTGAGTGCTCTAACCACTGGGCTAAAATGTATAAAGTGGGCAGTGGTGGTTGTTCCTGCTGCAGTTGCCAAATTTTGAACAGAGTCCAATATAGTAGTGGTGGTCAGAAGATGCTTAGCAGATTAGGCCATATGGGAGAGAGAGGTGCTCCTCCACCTATCTTCCCCCAGTTTGTGAATTGCTCTGGGGCTTAGGTAGGAGATATGTGATCAGATCCCTGGAGGGAGGCTGTGGCACTCATGCTTAGAGGCAGAAACATAGGTAATTAGGTAACTTTTATAGTTAGTTGCTGAGTGAGTTTAGATACCTACATGCTTAGGCAGCAGGTGAGTGGGAGTTCTATGGATTGGAGAGATGCCTAAAACTGGGACTTTGGTGCCTAAGTCTAGGGTTTAGGTGCCTAAGCACTTTTGTGGAGCTGGGGCTCTGTCTCTAGTTTGCTGGACTGGGGCTCTGGTAAAGTTTGTGCCTGAAGGCATTAAGAGGTGATAACAACCACTCTACATAAAATAACGAGGAGTCCTTGTGGCACCTTAGAGACTAACAAATTTATTTGGGCATAAGCTTTCATGGGCTAAAACCCACTTCATCAGATGCATGGAGTGAAAAATACAGTAAGCTGTATATATATGAAAAGATGGGAGTTGCCTTACCAAGTTGGGGGAAGTGCTAACAAGCCCAATTCAATTAAGGTGGAAGTAGCCTAAATTTCCAGTATTTTTGTTG